ATATATATATATATATATATATATATATATATATATATATATATAAAGTGAGAAAATTTCATTATTAATATTACCCAAAAAGAGTGTGTAGTGTATCACACGTGTCATCACTCATATGATTAACTTATAGGGCACTTGTGACTAACAAAAAGAATGACTTCAGATCATTGTGTACACATCAAATGGTTTAGTGAGGATTTTATTATTTTTTTACTTTATTTTGATAACATCCTTATCTTTCGGAAAGATATATCTATAATTGATAGGTTGAAAAGGGAACTAATTGAGGCCTTTGCAAAGAAGGACATGGGGCTAACAAAGCAAATACTAGGCATTCAAATATTTCATATTAGAAAAAATAAGAAGATTTGGTTATCATAGGAGAAATACATCGAGAATGTATTGGATATGTTCAATATAAGCAACACAAAACTAGTTGATTCTTCTCTTTTAAGTCACTTTATGTTATGCTTAAAGCAAAGTCTATCAAGTGACGAGGAGAAGGAGAAAATGCAAAAGGTTCCTTTTACTTCAGTAATAAGAAGTTTGATATATGCCATGATATGTATGAGGTCGGATATCGTATAAGAAGTTGGTGTTGCTAGTAGATTTCTTGCAAATCCAAGCAAAACACATTAGGTAGCAGTAAAGTTGATCTTTAGATATCTTATAGAGAGCTCCAAAGTTTGTTTAAGCTTTGAAAGTGGACCACCTGTGTTGATATGTTGCATAGATGTAGATATTATAAGAGATATTAATATGAAAAAGAGAGTGTATAGTGTATCACACGTATCATCACTCTCATGATTGGCTTGCAGGACACTTGTAACTAGCAAAACGAATGACTTCAGATCATTGTGTATAAATCAAACGGTTTAGCGAGGATTTTATTATTCTCTTACTTTGTGTTGATAACATGCTTATCTTTGGGAAAGATATATCTACAATTGAGAGGTTAAAGAAGGAACTGATTGAGGCCTTTGTAATGAAGGACATGGGGCTAGCAAAGCAAATACTGGGCTTGTAGATTTTCCATATTAGAAAAAATAAGAAGATTTGATTGTCATAGGAGAAATACATCGAGAAGGTATTGGATAGGTTAAATATAAGCAACACAAAACTAGTTGGTTCTCCTTTTTTAAGTCGCTTCAAGTTGTGCTTAAAGCAAAGTATATCAAGTGATGAGGAGAAGGAGAAAATACAAAAGGTTCCTTACGCTTTAGTAGTCAGAAGTTTGATATACGCCATGGTATGTATGAGGCCAGATACGCATATGAAGTAGGTGTTGCTAGCAGATTTCTTACAAATCCAAGCAAAGAGCACTAGTGAAGTGGATCTTTAGATATCTCATAGAGAGCTCCAAAGTTTGTTTAAGCTTTGAAAGTACACCACTTGTGTTGGCATATTGCATAGATGTAGATGTTGTAAGAGATATTGATAAGAAAAAGTTTACATCATGTTTTGTACTCACCTTTATAGCGGAAGCTGTGGCATGACAATTTAAATTACAAAATTGTATTACTCTCTCTACCATATGTTAGGATCGGAGCGGCACTAAGAGGGGGGGTGAATTAGTGCAGCGGATTCAAACTCGTAAGTTTGAAAATGATTTCGTAAATGCGTAGAGATTTTGATTCGACAAAGAATGACTTGGTAAAAGTAGCTCGAGTAAAGTAAGAAGATGAAAACCAAAAGCTTGCTGCTATGTAAATAAAGGTTTCAGAAAGGTAAACACTCACACATTCAAGGAACACACCAATTGAAAGTGGTTCGGTCAAATGACCTATATCAACTTGCGAAGCCTTCTTCGATGAGGCTCTCAACTTCCACTAGCAAATCACTTTGAAGGGGAAGGACAAATACCCCTCTTACAACCTTTTACAAGTGGTTCACACTCTTACAGATTTTTCAAAGAGAAAGAGGGAGGTGAACACTTAAGCTATTGAAAACAAGACTTGCTAAATACTTTGCTAAGGCTTTTTCTTAATCTCTAACTTCTTAAAGGTTGTATTCTCTACTGAGAATTGAGGGGTATTTATAGACCCTAAGAGGATTCAAATTTGGGCTCCAAATTTTGAATTCCTCTTAGATTCTCGTAGCTAGCGGTGTCACCGCCTAGTCCGATAGTAACACCGCCTAGTCTAGCGGTGCCACCATCTAGACTATTTCAGCTCACTGGTTGGGCTCCAAACTTGGCCCAAACCAGTCCAAACTCGGGCCCAATTGGCCCCTAACCGGGTTATAAGATTAACCCTTAATCCTAACCCTAATTACATGTAAACTATGAAATTAAGACATAGTCCTAAGCAAGTTTTTAACCGGTAATATCAAGTTTCCTTTTAGCGAGCTTTCCAACGATCTTCTAGCGGACGATACACCCTCAGATTTCTTCTGGCGAACTCCCAATAGGCTCCCGATCTTGTGGCGAGTTCAGCGAGTCTTTGGTAAGTAGCCGAACCTTCTCGATGATCTCCGCGAACCTCCGATGATCTCTTCGGTGAACTTCTGAAAACTTCGGCAAGTCCCCGATTTCTTCTCGGTTGGTTCCGGCAGCACTTCCGACGAATCTTCGGACTCTCGGCGGATTCTCGAACACCCATCGAACTTGACTCCGATAGACTTTCTTTATGTCTTCAAGCTATTGTAGTTAATCCTGCACATGTAAAACAAAACTTCGATCTAGACAATTACTCTTAAGCAATTAAGTTGTTTAGTATATCATTGGTCCCTCGACGCTTCGTCCGATTCTTCGGTGCATCGTCCTCTTATGCGGCCTATTACCCAATCGGCCAGTTGACTCCGCAACTCCGATATCCTTAGTGCAATACCTACTCTTCTTGGCTCGATGCCCGAATCCACGGCCCGAAGCCTTCTGTTGATACGTCGACTGATCCATCGGCCTGACGTCCAATCTTCTTACATGTTTCTCCGACACAACATGATTTTCCTGTTATAATTGTCTTATCTTGATTGAAGCATCCTGCGTCACTCAAAAATACAGATTAAAACATAAACACATATTGATTGGTTTTATCATCAAAATCTGAGATTCAACAATCTCCCCCTTTTTGATGATGACAACCAATCGACGATGGAGTTAACCTTAACTCCCGGAGTTTAAACAAACTCCCCCTATTAATATACCATATTGATAGAAACTCTTGGATTTAAAAATCCACGTAACAGGATAAAATTATTACATATAATTAACATACTTCTCCCCCTTTGTCATCAACAAAAAGGAGAAGTACCACAATCAAGTGTTTGTGATATACAAGTTCAACTCATTGCATGAAAAACATAATATCCATTTTTATCATCATGCAAGTTATAAGCTTGAAAATTTAGCAAGTGTTACATCGTGCTTAGAACATTTAAGCTATCAAGTTGTAGATATGAAAGTTTTACAACATACAAGCTAGCAAATTTAAAGATATGTAAGTTGGAATATTTGCTTTTCTTTGCGATGTGCAAGATAGCATTTCTTTGTAATGTTCAAGATAGCAAGTTCTACATCATGCTAGCTAGCAAATTAGAGATGTTCAAGAATGCAACTCTTGCTTCTTGAAATATGCAAGTTGCAAGCTAGCAAATTTTTGCTTCCTTTGCAATGTTTGAGCTAGCAATTTTGCTTTCATTTCAAAGTACAAGTTAGCATGTTTTGTATCTTGATATAGGCAAGATTACACTTTTGGTATGCAAATTTATAGTATACAAGTTATCAACTATTATTGCTTCCTTTGCAATGTTTGAGCTAGCAATTTTGCTTCCATTGCAAAGTGCAAGTTAGCATATTTTGTATCTTGAGATAGGCAAGATTACACTTTTGGTATGCAAATTTATAGTATGCAAGTTATCAACTTTTACACATAAAAAATTTACAAAAAGATGTGCAAGATGGACTATTTTGCCTCTTTTCGAAATGTGTAACTTCGCACATATTGCT